TTTCAGTTCATTTCTTGACCTACCATCCCCCCTGGCTCCTTCCTCCACTCTTTATTGGTTCAGTAATTTTCTCCTGTTTTATTAACTGTCAATGTAAATAATTCATGAATGGCTCTGGTAGGATTTTTTTCCTCTTTTTTGCTGGTGTAGACTGGGTGGCTGATATCAACATCTCTTTAGAATTACGTGTCAATGGTATCTTAAGAAATATATACATATATACATACTTTACTGGATTATACTGCTGATAAAAGCCAGATAATACTGCTGTTTAGGACCATTAACTTCTTTAAATTTATTTAAAAATAAAAACAAGCATAGTTTTTAGCATAATAAACTATCTGAAGTTACAGAAACCAATTTATATCCAGTGGGAAAATGTATGTGAAAGAGGAATTCTGTATCACATGAACTGTAGACATAATTGTTTCCTTATTAAAATTGCAATTCCTTATTTAACTGAAAAAAGTGAAAAAGCATGATAAATGATCATACTTAATATTAATAACATTAGTTCCATCTTCACAAAAAAAATGAACATTAACAGTACGATAAAAAAAATCACATGAAAAGTAGGTAAACAGACACTTTCTAAAAGAGTGAACATCCAGAGCATTTTTCAATAAATTGATAACTGCATAACATTTTTCATCATTTAACCACTTTCAGCTCTTGAGTACGGTATAAAGAAGGGTTTTGTGTAATAATACTAAGTAGACTTAACCTTATTTTATGTTTGAAGGTTTCAGAGGAATTCAAGGGAGGAATCTTGGCACATCTGCTTCCAGAAACCAAAGATAACGGGAGAAGCCCTCACTATGGACTATAAAGTTGTTTTTTTTATTATCTCTGAGCAACTTTAAAAGCATATCTGTGTGCCCTGAGGTCACTAAACACACAAGCTGCTGTGCTTGTTGGCCCTGGTCTTTTGCGTGTGTTGATGATTCTTAATTTTAAGTTCTGATCAGATTTATGTTTTTCAAACATAAAAATAAAAAAAATATTTTTCTCTCTTATTGTTCTTATTTTATAAGTTGTGTGATGGGGATTGTTGGCCTAGTGGTTAGGATATTATGCTTGGAACCCAGAGTCTCTGAGTTAAAGCTCCACTCCCACTGACCGCCACTCTGAGCAAAGCCCCTTAATTTCATTTCTTTATACTTGTGACAATTTAATGAAAATAAAGTTGAATTCTATTCTGCTTTCCACTTGTACGAAACAGCTAAATGTGTATAACAGCTTAAATGTGGGTGTTCAGTCACTGCATCGACATGAACGGAAATGTGTGCTCTCTAAAAGTAATTCTGTATTTTAAAAAGTGAGGATAAATATTCCAATATATATATATATATATATATATATATATATATATATATATATATATATATATATATACAAATACATCCATTCATCCACTTTCCGTCGTCTTTATCCCAGTTGGGGTTGCGAGGGGTGCTGGTGCCTATCTCCAGCTGTCTCTGTGCGAGAGGCGGGGTACACCCTGGACAGCACACTCATAATTTTTTAATGACCTCCCCGGATCTTTCCCAGTGTGCAGATAATGCTGTAATTAATTGAAAACAATCCCCACCTACCTTTACAGAGTAGAATTTTTAATGGATTCTACTTAGCATCTGGTATCAACATGCCACTAAATTAACATTGTGTTGTATGCTAAATTATGTTAAAAGGAAACATCAAATAGAAAGCAAATAGGTGAAGCATCAGTATGAAGTCTAACCGGCACCTTAAATTCATGTGTGACCTTTTTGGCAAACCCACAGCTCTGACAGTAAAATGGTATGAGGCATCCGGATAGGATTTCCACTGTCATTGGCAGACAGATTTAGTCTTCCACTTTTTTAGTGTGGTGAAATTAAATGGAATAGGGGGAAGTATGTGTGACATTCATCTATTAGACAAAAAAAAGATGAACAGGCAGTACAACAGGCTTTTAAAAGCCAAGCTGGGCCTCTCAGAGGAAAAGATGGATGGAAGTTGAATGGATAAAAAAAAAAGTGCTTCAGAAGAGTTCAAAAAGAGAAGTGCTAAATATATACGGTAATCTTCATTTCATAAAAATGACACATTTATTTTTCCAAACCCTTCTGAACACAATAATGAAACCAAAATGTAAAACAATTTTGCGTTATATTGATTCATATAAAGCAGTTTTGTCAAATTGAAAGTTGTGAATAGGCCTGCTCATAGACATTGGATATTTGCATCTTTCTCTTTGAGGAGCAGAAGATCTAAAACATAAAGGATGTGCTGTTAAAGATGGCATTTGGACACGACTGGTTTAAAAGGTGTATTTGCCTTTAAATCATCTTTATTAGGCCTTTCTTTTAAAAGCTACTGTTTCAAACATGATCTGATACCGTTGAGTTTGCTGTGCAATATTCATATCCATTTCCATTTCTATTTCTTACTCTTTTCTGTTGCAGGGTGTAAATGGCTCTTAATTTTTAACGTTTTACTCAAAGACACTTTCTTAGCCTGCCAAATTCCGCTGGCCAGTTGGCTTTTATAATAAAGCTACATACCCTTGGTGTAACCGTTAGAGAATCTCCCTTAGAATAATAATAGTTCTCAAAATATTTATATATTATATTATAGAATAATTCAATATTTTTTCAGGTTTTCCAAAATGTAGCCTTATTCTTTTGCTTATGAAAATCCTCGGTATTGATACTATGGTCACTATTGATCCTCTTCAGTTGCACAAGCTCTGTCCTACAGGACCAATGGTAATATGAAATGTCTACCCGTCCACTTATAATATCGTAATATTTTAACAGAAATCTGCTTCTGTTTGCCTATAAGACCCTTGTGACTATTGTATTTTAATACACAAAAAGAACCATACTTGCAGAAACTTTTGTTTCTCAGAAATGCTGGAATGGGTGATTGTTTTGATGTTTGTTGCTATATGCAATAGCTTATCTATTTTTGTATGTGTTTTTAATTTTCGTAATGCTTTGCCTCCCACATTTCAACATTTTGTCTTAATTAGCAGATCGAGTAGCTCTATATGATCGTCCTACTTTATGCTATTTCTTAATTTAGTTGTCACGATTTGGTTAAGGTTTGTTGACCCAAAAGCAGAGACAGGGCGGCAGAGGTGAATTTCTTGTGGATTTAATGATGAGATAACTGAGAACAGAGGCAGATAATCCAAAATTTCAAATATGAAAACAAAGACC